CTTGACTGTTTGGTCATAGTTGGCCCATTGATCGAAACTGCTTTAATTTGTCAATCAGACCTGCCTCCCTTGGCCATTCCAGGATGTCATATGTTTCGGCACCCAGAACAATGATTGATCTGAGAGTGCTTTCTCATCAAGGCAAATACACCAATGTCGTACCACATGCTTTGTTTGTTTGTTGTTTTAATGCTGCACTCTGCAATACTTCAGTTAAATATTCCGGCTGTAATTAATCCAATGATCAACAGCATGAGCATCAATCTAAGCACTTGGGATATAATGACATGTGTCAACAAGTCAGCTAGCCTGACCACTGATCCCATTAGTTGACTTTTATACCAAGCATGGGTTGCTGAAGACCGATTCTAACCTGGATCTTCACAGGTCTGCCACATGCTAGGAAGCGTGGTAGTGTACTGGTTAAGGCTTTCCCTTGTAATACAAAAGGCATGGTTTGATTCACCACATGGGTACAGCATGTGTTTCCTTTCTGTTATGTTGCTGCAATATTGCTATAAGTGACATAGAACCGTACTCACACTACAGTCAGTGAGTGAGTTTTGTTTTACGCCGCACTAAGCAATATTCCAGCTATATGGCGGTGGTCTGTAAATAATCGAGTCTGGACCAGACAATCCAGTGATCAACGGCATGAGCATCGATCTGCACAACTGGGAACCAGGTCAACCAAGTCAGCGAGCCTGACCACCCGATCCCATTAGTCGCCTCTTACGACAAGCATGGGTTGCTGAAGATCAATATTCTAACTCGGACCTTCATGGGTCAGTGTGAGTGAGTGAGTGAGTGAGTGAGTGAGTCTACCCCACCACCCTACAACCTGCAACACTTCATGCTTACCTTGTATTTGGTGATGGGGCACTGATGGTGGTTGTTGTCCAAAGCACTGCAGTTTGTTTTGCAGTTTTGCATCCTTTAGCGTGTCAGAGACATGATTGTGAGTTCAAATCATCCTGATAATGTTTCTATGTTTGTCAGGACCATGCTCATGGATTCAATCAGAGTTGTAAACAGCGAAGACCTGCATCATTCTGTTCCTCATCCTTCATTATGATGACTGACCGCCTCCGTGGTGTAGTGGTTAGAGCGTCCGCCCGAGAGCGCAAGGTCGCGGGTTCGATCCCCGGCCGCGTCATACCAAAAGACATTAAAATATGGTACTTGTTGGTCCCTGCCTGGTGCTTGTCATTAATGGGTAAAACAAGGACTGGTCAGCTTGGAGTCAGTATAATGTGTCTGAGTGGGGTATTCATGCTTAACTGTGGCATGGTATCTCAGTGGGCTAGCACTATAAAACCAGCTTAAGTCTGGGCTAGTAGCAGCCACACATACACACGCATACACGTCGTCATATGAGTGAAATATTCTTAAGTACAACATTAAACCCCATTTCACCTCACCTCTCCTCATTAAGATGATACGGTAAGATGTGACTGAAACAACACACGTTCAAAGAATCTTTGAACCAAACCCACAGACTCTCTCTCCATAGAACTGATGATGAATGGGATACGGTTGAAAGTGATGCTAAGCCCATCTCACTCACTAACTCTGCAAACCCTCTATAGCATCAGCTCAACTCTTGAAAGGCTTAGCGTCATTACTGGTAATGAGGCACCATTCCCTCTATTTACCTGCAGAATTCCCCTTCATTGGTGACTAATTACTTTTTGCAGAAGAACAAATTATTCAGGTAGCATCAAGTCAATCTTCTATTTTACTGTAACAGGCTTTACTTTTTTCTTTCAAAGGTAATTATTACTTTTAGGAGGATTTCTAATTACGTAATGAAGTCGGAGCCTTTTGGTTTCCAAATGAGTGAGTGTTGCTTCTTGAACATCAAAGATGCGACATTTTTGCCAAAAGCCACGATGGCACGATAGTTTGAATGCACTAGGGCTTAAGAATTAGTGCATGAGATATTTCTAATCTTGTCTTCTCTTGAACAAAGGAATTATTGAAGGTAATTTTACCCTTACGTTACCTTGGAGTATTTGTTGAAAACATTGTTACCAAACAATGCTAATTACGACATTTTGATGTCTGTGGATCCCTCAGGCTTGTTATGCACTTAACTTCAGCGTAATGGGAATTTCAGAGGTATTTTCAGTGTAGGGAATATCACAGCTCATTTGTCTGTGAGGAAATCCTTTTCTTCTGTCTTAATGTTGAATTGAGAACAAATGGATGGATATGGTGTTTAACCTGTGAAACATGCCTTCTGTCCAGGATAGGATTAGCTTAATGGGAGAGTTAGAGCTTGTTTGACATATTTTTTTCACTTTTTGTTGAATGAATTTGCGCAGTTTTCCATTAGTATTCCTCTCAGAATATGCATTATGTGTATCTAATTAAATTTTACTTTGTGTCATTTGTTTGATTTTGTTGTGGATATCAAATTATGTTGGTTGGTTGTTTGACGCTGCACGCAGCAATATTCCAGCTATATGGCAGCGGTCTGTAAATAATCCAGTCTGGACCAGACAATATAGTGATCAACAGCATGAGCATTAATCTACGCAATTGGGATACAATGACATGTGCCAACCAAGTCAGGGAGCCTGACCACCTGATCCTTTTAGTCACCTCTTACGACAAGCAGGGGCGGTGGGGTAGCCAAGTGGTTAAAGCGTTCGCTCGTCACGCCGAGGACCCGGGTTCAAATCCCCACATGGGTACAATATGTGAAGCCCATTTCTGGTGTCCCCCGCCGCGATATTGCTGGAATATTGCTAAAAGCGGCGTAAAACTAAACTCAGTCAGTCAGTACAACAAGCATGGGTTTGTTACTGAAGACCAATTCTAACCCGGATCTTAACGGGTTCGAATTCTGTAATATGAGGAGCAGGTGATGAAGGATGTAAGAATTTACTCCGAAATATCCTCAAATTACAATTGACATCCATAGTTTTCCCCTTATGGTATCACTTCTTAATGCCAGTCAAAAGATTGGATTTTGTGTGGTTGTTTCACAAACACCTATCAGTTTTCCAGTCATATCCTACATTTGAACCTGTTTGGTCTGTAACTTAGTAGGATGAAGATGCCATCTGTTTTCTGACCTTGGTTGTGTATGGAGATACCGGTATCAATGACACTGCCATCACAAGGCAGGAGACTGCTTGGCTGCTTCAGGCAGTATACAGCCTACTTTTTTTGTGCTAATTGTGTGACTGGGGGTACTGCCAGTGAGACAGGATATGTTCACCCTTCTTGCAAAGACGTGGTGTTACGCTGACTTCAGTGGCACATTCCTACAAGTTCACCTCTATTCTGCCAAATATGCCCAATGGATCTGTTTCAGGGTGTAATAAAGATGGATGGTAACTGCCGTTGATGTTTTGTGCTTGTGCTTGGTCACCTGTTCTTAAATGCAGCAGCACAAAAACATAGTTACGACCGATCGTAACTCTATAGTTTACCATAAGCTTACGAATGTCGTAGCGCTACGAATGCTTTGTGAATCAGGAGCCTGGTTTATAGTGCACATTTCGACTAAAACATACAGAAAGTGGCAGGGGCCAAGGAGCCAGGGCCTAGATTGTCGAAAGCTCACTTAGTGCCAAGATAGTCGTTATGTTACTGTATGGCACTTACGACTATCTTAGTGCTAAGAGAGCTTTGAAAATCTAGGTCCAGTCTGCTATGTTTGTCAGTTTGTTGTAAGTGTGTTTGTTATACATGTAGTTTACTACATATGCCGCGACCTTACCTGAGGGGCAATGGGGTAGCCTAGTGGTTAAAGCATTTGCTCTTCATGCGGGATTCTATTCCCCACATGGGTACAATGCATGAAGCCCATTGTTGGTTACCCCAACAGTGATATTGCTGGAATATTGCTAAAAGCGGCGTAAAACTAAACTCAGTCAGTCATAAGAATTTACTCCGAAATATCCTCAAATTACAATTGACATCCATAGTTTTCCCCTTATGGTATCACTTCTTAATGCCAGTCAAAAGATTGGATTTTGTGTGGTTGTTTCACAAACACCTATCAGTTTTCCAGTCATATCCTACATTTGAACCTGTTTGGTCTGTAACTTGGTAGGATGAAGATGCCATCTGTTTTCTGACCTTGGTTGTGTATGGAGATACCGGTATCAATGACACTGCCATCACAAGGCAGGAGACTGCTTGGCTGCTTCAGGCAGTATACAGCCTACTTTTTTGTGCTAATTGTGTGACTGGGGGTACTGCCAGTGAGACAGGATATGTTCACCCTTCTTGCAAAGACGACGGTGTTACGCTGACTTCAGTGGCACATTCCTACAAGTTCACCTCTATTCTGCCAAATATGCCCAATGGATCTGTTTCAGGGTGTAATAAAGATGGATGGTAACTGCCGTTGATGTTTTGTGCTTGTGCTTGGTCACCTGTTCTTAAATGCAGCAGCACAAAACATAGTTACGACCGATCGTAACTCTATAGTTTACCATAAGCTTACGAATGTCGTAGCGCTACGAATGCTTTGTGGATCAGGAGCCTGGTTTATAGTGCACATTTCGACTAAAACATACAGAAAGGGCAGGGTCCAAGGAGCCAGGGCCTAGATTGTCGAAAGCTCACTTAGTGCCAAGATAGTCGTTATGTTAATGTATGGCACTTACGACTATCTTAGTGCTAAGAGAGCTTTGAAAATCTAGGTCCAGTCTGCTATGTTTGTCAGTTTGTTGTAAGTGTGTTTGTTATACATGTAGTTTACTACATATGCCGCACTTACCTGAGGGGCAATGGGGTAGCCTAGTGGTTAAAGCATTTGCTCTTCATGCCGGGATTCTATTCCCCACATGGGTACAATGCATGAAGCCCATTGTTGGTTACCCCAACAGTGATATTGCTGGAATATTGCTAAAAGCGGCGTAAAACTAAACTCACTCACTCACTCATTTTTGGTGTTTCCCAAAGTGATATTGTTTGAATATTGCTAGAAGCAGCATAAAACTAAACTCACTCACTCACACTTGTATGATTTGTTTCAGGGCATTGAGCAGCTGAAGAAGGAGCAGGCAACGTGGGATAGGAAGTCCAAGTGGCTGAGCATCAAGGCTGTATTTGGTCATCCCTTCTCTGTGGAATGGTTCTCACCCTTCGCAACGCCGAGATTTGTGTACCAGCAAAACTTTATGTATGCAGTGTAGGTCACCAGGCTGTTCATGTGGACTGGTTGCCACACAGGTAACCAGCAGTGTCCACGGTTGAAACTGCCAAGCGTCCTTCACCATCTGATGGTATACTGTCATCAATATGTCATTTATATTCAGGTTCTACAAAGCATCAAAGGAATTTTACAAGGTTGTATTGAAGTAATGATCACGCAAAATATTCAGGTGTTTATTCACTGCTTCAAAAGGATGGGATTTTGAAGCATTTTGAGTCATCAAGTCATGTGGGTGTTGAAGGACTTCAATGGAGTTGGCAAAAGAATTGTGTTTGAAGCACATCATCAGAAATCAAGCTCTTCAGCAGTTGTCAAGAAACTTAGGTTATGAAGCAATTCAAAAGAGTATCATTGAGAAAACTGGGATTTGAAGCACTTTAACAGAGTAATCGCATAGCTATTCAACCAAGTGTCAAGAAACAGATGTCCATTGTAAGAAGCACAAGTATTTGTGATTTGAGGAAACCACAGAGAATGTCCTTGTTCATTCTCTGGAAGCAATAGACATCATATTGTGGGCTAAACAATTTGAACACTAAGCGAAGATTGCCTGTGTGATGAGTCAAACACAGCGTGTAACTGATATGAAGGATGCATAAATCGTAGATGCAGCATTCTGTTTACTGGAAAACATTGTTACAAATGATTGACTATCTTACTGATTGAGAAACTTTGTTAAGTGCCATTGGATCCTGGAGATTTTTCACACTTTCACTGTTTTTGAATATATTTTTAGTAAGAGTTTTTTCTTAATATTAAATGTGGAACAATACCATCTGTGAAACTAATCCCAAATTATTTGAGTATTAAGTTTGATTTTATATCTATCTGAAGTTTGATTTTAACCAGATCTTTTCAGTAATCACGAAAGCACATGACATCTGTTGTAGCATGACATCATCTCATTCCAGTGTGACATCATAGCATTCCAAAGTGAGGCCATGTCTGTTGAGATAGAGTGCAATGGACAATTATCAATAACTTCAGTATTTGGCAATGTCAGTGAACATTCATTGTCTTAGGATTTTGTATTGTGGGGTATTTGTTGCCTGAATACTTAAGCAATTTGAAATTTTGATTTTCATAATTCCATATGTTCCAAATTATACTTATCTGAGCATTGGATACTCAGCACCAGTCAGATCTGAAAACACTGAATGTTTGGCTGCTAGTTGATCAGACTAGACTTTAGCCTTCAAGAAGGGTCAGGTTATTTCATTTTGCTCTTGCATGTAAACAGTCAAAAAAGTGTATGAAAGATGTTGGCCAACACAAATGAAGTGGCTTTTGCAGATTCTGAACATTGTTCCCATATGATAGTCATGAAAACACAAGTGTCAAAGATTTGGAGATTATTAGGAACATCTCAGGCTGATGTCCGTTGTGAATGTAGGAAATATTATCATACAGTAACACAACACCGAGATGTGAAATTTCTTCTCAAGACACAGGGCAGCACATGGCATTTTTAGTAGGATTGTGGAATGGTACTTGCCTGACATAAACTGTAACTTTGAAATACATTATGAAAGCTATTTGAACAAGTCAGTTTTCAGGGTTTGAAGTGATGCGCAAATGTACAGAATGGAATCAGAAATCCTGACATACTGCATCCAGAGAGACACACAAAATACCAAGAACGTACCTACAGTAAATCAACAGTGTGTGTTATTTCACCCATCAGTCATGAACACTGTCCACATGACCACTGATTCATTCCAGGCTCTGAAGTAATCGGGATTGGGTGGTCAGGCTCGCGACTTGGTTAACACATGTCATCGGTTCCCCATTGTGCAGATCGATGCTCATTGATCACTGGATTGTCTGGTCTAGACTCGATTATTTACAGGCCGCCGCCATATTGCTGGAATATTGCTGAGTGCGGCATATACCTAAACTCACTCGCTCACTCACTCTGAAATAATTATCTGGATGAACACTACTGAATGTACACCACATTTCAGTACTTTACAGAACCCAAATATTACCAGCAAGGACCTGTAAATGATATTGATGAGGGTCCCCTGGACCCTTACTTTTGTAAGTCAAGGTAAAGCCCTGGTTTTGTAGTAGTGTCACTGAGATGAGGGGAGATGTGGGTTAATGTCACAGTCAGGATTATTTCACTCTCATAATGTATAGACATGTGCCTGTAGCTTTCACTAGTCTGGATTAAATCCATTCATAGTGATAGCCCACTGTCATACCATTCCACAGTTTAACTAATATCCTCTCAGACACGTTATACTGGCACCAAGCAGCCCAGCCCTCGTTTCATCCCCTTAATGCTGAGATCCTGGCAGAGTAACAAGTACCATTTTCTAACCTTATGGCACCATGCAACCAGAGCATCAAACACTGACCTCCGGAACAGATTCCAGATCCACAGCACCATGCATAGCGCCATTGGTGACATCTCAATTACATCTCAGTAACTACATCTTGGTTTGTGTAATGATTTGTAGATCCAAAACCGTTTATTATTCATGTAATCATACATTTGAAGCTGTTTGATCTGCGACTGAGTTATCAATGTTGCATCAGGATCCCATCTATTTGATGCCCATGGAGATGCTTGTATCAATGGCTTTGCACTTGGTCACCTGTTCTTGAAAACAGCAACAGTAACATTTGGTCCCAATTTCAGCATGTAATCTTTCATTTCTTTGTAATTCTTTCTTAGTAGTTTTTAAATCATGAATTCCACCGAATGTTGTGCTGGTGAAGTAGAAACATTGTAGAATAAACATGGAAGCATCCCCTTCAGGGAGAAGGGATTTCACTGACATATGAAATCAAAGCCAAGTGATGTGAAATTAGCCAAGGGAATGATATACTGTTAACCAAGTGAAGTGATATGAAATTAGCCAATGAAATTGTTTAATGTTTAGTGAAATGTATATGAAATAGATCCGTTATTCAAACACTTGAGGGGTGGTTGGGTAACCTAATGGTTTAAGTGTTCGCTCGTCACGCTGAAGGCCTGGGTTTGATTCCCAACATGGGTACAACGTGTGAAGCCCATTTCTGGTGTCCCCAGCCTTGATATTGCTGGAATATTGCTAAAGGTGGCGTAAAACTAAAGACACTCGCTCTGATGCATCCAACACTTTCGGTTTAGTAACTTAAAAGCAAGAACATACAAAACGAGAACCTGCTGATAATCTGAGGGGGTGCATTTTACCTTGGTGCAAAATGATTTTTGAGTGTTTGTTCATCCTTCAGAAAGCATTGTTTCAGCAACCTTCACGAGGCTTATCTGTGAAGCACTGCCATGGTGTGATTGATAAATGTCAAAAAACAAAAGGTGACATGTTTTGTAGTCAGTCACTCACTCATGATGTAAATCCATTATACATGTAGTGGTTTGGGGAATACATTGAGTAAGATCTCTGTTTTTACAACCTTTGTGTATTTACATTCCATGTAGATGTTAAACTGTATATACTGGGGTTTATGCTTGTCATATGGGATCTACCATGATTGTTGAATGTACTTTCATACTCTGGAGTGTATAGCTATTGTGGATAACATGTGTGAGTAATGCAGAGTCAGCAGATAAAAGAGGTTGTTATCCATACTTTTGTCAGTATTGTATTTCCCAACTTTTTAGTGCCACCCAAAGAAGTCAGCACAGACTTGATCACAATTAACTCTTTCAGGCTTAGATTTGTATATATTTCAGGAGTATTCTAAAAGTATTTACTCAAATGCTGTTTCAAGGAAATAACTCTTTTGTTTTTGAAAAGACCATGACAAAGATACAAAACACAACTGCCATTTTTTCACTCACCATGTGAAAGATGTTATACAAGTTTATTTAAAAAAACCCAACCCCGTTGATTATCCCAACATGAAGCCTTATGTATTGTATGTACAAAGAATGCATGTGATTTTTTGAAAAGATGTTGGTACCTATAACATGACAGTATGTGATCAGTGTTTGATATGAGAATGACATCACTAAAGGATCATTGTAAGATGTTTGAAACTTCTATAGCAGGGCAGGATGTGATCAGTGTTTGATATGAGCATGATCAGTGTTTGATCAGTGTTTGATATGAGCATATAGAGGGCAGGATGTGATCAGTGTTTGATATGAGCATGACATCACTAAAGGATCATTGTAAGATGTTTGAAACTTCTATAGCAGGGCAGGATGTGATCAGTGTTTGATATGAGCATGACATCACTAAAGGATCATTGTAAGATGTTTGAAACTTCTATAGCAGGGCAGGATGTGATCAGTGTTTGATATGAGCATGACATCACTAAAGGATCATTGTAAGATGTTTGAAACTTCTATAGCAGGGCAGGATGTGATCAGTGTTTGATATGAGCATGACATCACTAAAGGATCATTGTAGGATGTTTGAAACTTCTATATCAGGGCAGGATGTGATCAGTGTTTGATATGAGCATGACATCACTAAAGGATCATTGTAGGATGTTTGAAACTTCTATATCAGGGCAGGATGGATCAGTGTTTGATGAGTGATCAGTGTTTGATATGAGCAGTGTTTGATATGACATCACTAAAGGATCATTGTAGGATGTTTGAAACTTCTATATCAGGGCAGGATGTGATCAGTGTTTGATATGAGCATGACATCACTAAAGGATCATTGTAGGATGTTTGAAACTTCTATATCAGGGCAGGATGTGATCAGTGTTTGATATGAGCATGACATCACTAAAGGATCATTGTAGGATGTTTGAAACTTCTATAGCAGGGCAGGATGTGATCAGTGTTTAATGAAATGACATCATAAAGGATCAGTGTAGGATGTTTGAAACTTCTATATCAGGGCAGGATGTGATCAGTGTTTGATATGAGCATGACATCACTAAAGGATCATTGTAGGATGTTTGAAACTTCTATATCAGGGCAGGATGTGATCAGTGTTTGATATGAGCATGACATCACTAAAGGATCATTGTAGGATGTTTGAAACTTCTATATCAGGGCAGGATGTGATCAGTGTTTGATATGAGCATGACATCACTAAAGGATCATTGTAGGATGTTTGAAACTTCTATAGCAGGGCAGGATGTGATGAGTGTTTGATATGAGCATGACATCACTAAAGGATCACTGTAGGATGTTTATTACTGTATAGTTTTTGAAGTATAGTATAGTTAATTGATGTAGCTGATAACAGTGCAGGATGATGCTAGAGCTTGCTGTATTATCGGGGTGGTTAAAGTGGTTAAAGCGTTGGCTCGTCACGCCGAAGACCTGATTTTGAATCCCCACATGGGTACAATGTATGAAGCCCATTTCTGGTGTCCCCCACCTTGATGTTGCTGGAATATTGCTAAAAGCGGAGTAAAACCAAACTCAGTCAGTCAGTCAGTTGTTGTATTATCCAGTTTGATATCTACAAATTTGTCCAAGTTTTAGCTTGGATTCCAAACCATGTTCACTCTGCAGGCTATTAGGAATTTTGTGATTGTTCTTATTTTATTCAAATTCAAAGGAAACTGGACATTACATTCTTGAAATAGTTATATTGTCGCATTTAAAATAGCTATATTGTCGCAGCTGTAATAATGTAAAATGAAGCTTAGAGACTATTTCTAGGTTCTGCTCTCAGAGAAATACAGATCATGTCTGCAAACCCATTACTTTAGTAATAAGTATAATAACATGTATTGCTATTTTAAATATGGCACCAAACCTGACTTTTTGTGGTGACTTGGGAAAGAATATTGGTCTGTGAGTAGATCTGGTTAAAACCCTGCTGGCATTTGTCCTAGGTCTTGTAATATCTTGGGGGAGATACTGTAGCACTTTTACAAGCTTATTTCTCTGTAATACATTGAAGATGAGACAGCTAATGTCTGCCCTTTAAATCTTGCAACAGAAACAAGTAATGTTTAATAAAATTTTGTGTAGTTTCTTTTAATATGATACCTCCTGAGAAGAGCAACTATTAAATGTCACGTCTTTCTTCAGTGTTTGCTTCTTTAGATACAAGTTAGTATTGGTCTTTAGCAATACATTCCTGTTGTAAGAGGTGGCCAACAAGATCAGGGTCCCATTTCAAAAGCTATCATAGCGCTCCAACTGTCGTACCTCCTGTACTGTAACATACACTTACAGTCATAGCACTACAATAGCTTTATGAAACGGGGCCCTGGTGGTCAGGCTCGGTCTTGGTTGACACATATCGTATCACTAGTTGTGTAGATTGGTGCTCATGCTGTTAATCACTGGATTTGTCTGGTTCAGACTTGATTATTTACAAACCTTCGCCATATAGCTGGCATTAAAGAAGAAACAAAGAGGTCTTTGTGCAATCATCAGGACTATCATGGTACTGAGGTTGCTTTGTGGATCAGGGCTCAGAAGATGTATCCGTAGAATCATCAGTTTGTCCATGCTATAAAGTTCGACTAGTCCATCCTGTGATGTCTAGCTGGTCTTTCCCATAATGTCAAGCTTGATCATCCCATGATGTCTAGCTTGATCATCCCATGATGTCTAGCTTGTCCATCCTGTTATGTCTAGCTTGGCAATTCCAAGATGTCTAGCTTGTCCATCCTGAGATGTCTAGCATGTTCATCCCATAGCGTCATGCTTTAAATCCCGGGATATCCAGCTTGCCCAGCATCTGTTTGTGAAAATGGTTAAATTCACAATTCAATGAAAGCCTAAATAGTATGTGATTGAGTAAGAAATTTGGCATTAAGAATAAACCTTTAATAACTTTAAGAATTGGTAGAATCTAGAAATAGCAG